AAAAAGTGGATACACCAACCAGTTTTTTAATATCTTAGTTAATAGGAATGACTATCTTTGGTCCATTCGTTTCCTGCAAAAATCTACAAAAGTAGATACTCTACCAAAAGGTAGAGTCGCCATCTAGTGAGGTGCTTTCTTTTTTTTTTCTTAGGTATTTTAAGAAAAAATAAATTAAAACAAACATATACATATTAAACAAACTGAAATTTGCAAAGTTCGAAACTTAGATATCAATACAAATACGAAAAAGTACAAATAGTTGTTTATTGAATTTTGAAAATTATTTTACTTTTATACATGAAAGAAAACGCGAAGGATTGTCATGGAGAAATCAAGAAAGTACCGTAGTGATATCTAGTTTAATTTCGGGAACTATATTTTTAATTTGTTTAAGCTTGCAACAGTTTAAGAAATGTAACGTCTTTTTCGTAAATTTTTTTTTACTTGTCTTTCGATATTTTCCTTCATCAGTTTAAGAAATTGTGATGTCTTATATTTTTATTTATATTTTCAAAGCATCCTTTTTAGCTTGAGCTTGCAAGGTAACTTGATTTGCATGTAAGATAAGTACATCACCAAGCGAAGAAGAAGAAGAAACTGAACTGGTTGAGTTTGTTTATTTGCTGAAAGTTCAAAGTATTTAGTTTAAACTAAATACTTTTTACTCAGTGCTAGGTATTGAATAAAAAAGTATCGATTATTACTCACTTGTATTTGTCGCATTTGACAACACTAGTGGCAACACTGTTATTCATGGAGTTAGGACGCGCAAGTGGTGATTTTAATAGTTTATTTGATTAATTGAACAATAGCCATAAAATATGTAAGTTGTTACTAAGCTAACCATTATCAGTAGTAATATTAATAGTTATAGTATTGTATTAGTTCATAAACGATTTTTATACTGTTTCAGGGCTCGTAATAAGTCACCATCGGCCGTCTCTGATAAAGAGAAAAAGAAACCAAAAGATACTAAAAAGAAGAAAGGTGAATCTGGATCGAGTAGTAGTGATAGCAGTGGCAGGTAATGTGAATAATAACATAGTTTAACATCTTCAATTAATAATTATTTATTTTAGTTTAGGTTATAATAACCCTCTCCTCTGCCTCTACTCCAACATAAAAATAAATAAAATATACAGTACTAAACATCAATATACAACAACATACATTAAAAATACTGCCTGCTAACTAAACAATTAAAATAGCACACTTAAAGCAAGATTTATACTATCATAAAAACGAAAATTTATTTTTAGTTCTTCTGAAAGCAGTTCTTCACGTTCATCATCCCTTTCATCGTCGAGCAGCTCCGGTAGTTCGTCTCGCTCATCATCATCGAGCAGTTCCTCCAGCAGCAGTAGCAGCAACAACGATCGTTCAAGGCCAAAAAAGAAGTTAGTAACATTAAATAGATGTATTTTAAGAATTTTGCAACTGAGATCAAATGATTAATTGCTTACTAGCCTTCAGCCAGTCGCTTAAGCTGAGTGGTCATGTATTATACAAATAAATATACCCTTTAAATCACTCTGTATATTAATGATTTTAACCATAAAATATTCATTGTGTAGTTTAAATGATCTCAGTGTACATCAGGAAGAGACTTAGTTTTACACTATGTATTTTATTACAGGACTTCACCACACAAAAGTCCACTAAAAGACAGGCGAGACACAGAACGTGATAAGGTCAGGGACAGGTCACCTGTAAATGACAAGAAAAAACTATTACCAGTCAATGACAAAGCTAAAAGCAAAGACAAGCAAGAAAGGTAAATAGTATTTTAAAACATAGAAAAAAAGGTTTTTTTTTATTTGTATATATTATACTTATTGGAAATAAATCTTATTATTATTATAATTTTTAAATATCACTTGTAATAGGTCACCAGGAAGGAAGAAGAGGGAGCGTTCCCCTCCACCCAGGCCGACTAGAATACACATTGGACGCTTAACTCTTAATGTCAATAGAGAACATATACATGAGATATTCTCAACTTATGGCACAGTGAAGACAGTGGAGTTCCCCACGGACAGATTGCACCCTCACAATGGAAGAGGATATGCCTATGTGGAGTTCACCAATCCAGATGATGCAGAAAATGCTATGAAGCACATGGATGGGGGTAAATTATACTCAACAAACATAATTAAGTTTTTTTTGGAAATTCTTAAGTGGTATAGTGTTGAAAATGTACTCGTCATGCTGTTTGGCTGAAATCAAACTGGCAGCACCACATAATTACTTAAGCTACTTCTTCTGTAGCTGGCTTGTACACTGGTTTAAAGTTTCACCAGTATTCACTGCCAATTTAAACAGTCCAGCCAAATCCATATAAACGCCATCAGAATTTTTCCATTATTTGCTGTGGTAAACTCATTAATTATGTGGAACAGGTCAGATCGACGGGCAAGAGATCACGGCGGCTCCGGTTCTGGTACCGTCGCGGCCGCGCCGTCCCTCGCCTCGGCTGCCTCCGCCGCGCCACGCTCCACCCCGCCGACACTCGCCGCCGAGGTTAGTTATGGAAATTTTACACCATTATCATCAACTTATTAAACGAGCCCACTGCCCAACAACCAGTTGCATAAACATCCATTAAAATTGTCATTACTTTAAAGCGGTATTGTCCGTACAAATTTGAGATGTGATTATTACATAAACATTATCAGGGTAAACACAGGGAAAATGAATCTTAACTCCCTATGTAGATACAATGCAGTTTTTAATTTTTTTATTTATTAAGAAACTCGACAGCTTTTTTTTATAATCATTTTGTTTTCACTTATATATTTAATCTAGCCAATAACAGAGTTTCATAACTTGAATAATTCTCTTCGAAGCACACACTACAAATTTCTGGTTTCTCTGTAATATGATGAAGTGCGAGCAGTTAGTAACTTTATACTTTCTCAAAATTTTATGCTTATTTTCATGTATAAGATTTAATATAGTAAGTAGGTAGTAAGTGAGTATTCCCCTATACGCTACTGGGAATCCTCACATGCATACTACTTTTTAATATATTTTATAATAAATAAATAAACAAATATTAAAGCGTGGATTTTTCTTAATGAAAAACCCTTAAGAAAGTGGATTTTCTAAGCATTCTTCATTAAGAATATTTTTCAGTATATTGTTTATGCAAAATTGATCAAATGTAATAAAATATTAAATAAAGACGCTAGCAGCTTAAAAATCGCAGCTTTTCATATGTACTTATATTGATATACTAGCTTTTGCCCGCGACTTCTTCCGCGTGGTAAAGTTACTATTTATTCATTAAAAGTTGCCCAAAAAGTACCTGACATAAACTTTCTTCCCCTATTTTATCTCCTTAGTGGTGGGATTTATAAAAAATATTTGTTAGGGGATGCCTACGTCATAGTAGCTTTATGCATGCAATTCTCAGCCGGATTAGTTTAAAATTGACAAAGTTTCCTACAAACTTTCATCCCATATTTTATCCCCTTGGGGTAGAATTGATCAAAATCCTTTCTTAGGGGATGCCTACGTCATAGTAGCTTTATGCATGCAAAGTCTCAGCCCGATCGGTTTACAATTGACAAAGTTTCTTACAAACTTTCATCCCCTATTTTATCCCCTTGGGGGTAGAATTGATCAAAATCCTTTCTTAGCAGATGCCTAAGTCATAAAATCTACCTGCATGCCAAATTTCAGCCTGATCCGTCCAGTAGTTTGGGCTGTGCGTTGATAGATCACTATGTCAGTCAGTCACCTTTGAGTTATATATATTTAGAAGTTTTATATATTATAGATATCAAATATTTTGATATTTATTATAAATATCGTATTTTTGCGAACCCTAATCAATATAGCGTTGTGGAGAAAAAGTATAGTACAAGGTTTTGTGTTGTGGTATCGTCCAGGTATCGTCGGCGCAGCCCGCCGGTCCGCCGTCGGTCACCGCCGCCTCGCCGCCGCCGTTCCCGCTCGCGTTCCCCGCGCCCCCCCGCGCCGCGCCGTCGCAGATCCAGGTCCTCCTCATCCTCATCCCGATAAAACACCACCCTCCCAACCCCCACACATACGATGCACGCTCTGACACTCCCCACAACACTACACTTAATTATAGTGATGCGCCAAATAGTGGTTTCACCGAATATTATTCGGTGTTACTTACCGAACCGGATATTTGGTCGAATTATTCGGTTTACCATTTCACTCATATGCCGCGAAAAAAGGATTAATAACAAATGTGGAGTTTGTGTTTAATTGCTTTATTTTATTAGCTTTATTGAACACATTCTTCATAGGATTTCTTTTACTTATCTATACTATAACTTGTCGGGTGTAGCTAGGAAAATAGAAATACTCGAAGTGAATATAATCGGCACCAAAACCAAATAATTAGGCCGAATACAAATAGTGAAAAAGATGCCGAATACCAAACGAATATTCGGCGCATCTCTACTTCATAATAATTATCGGTTCGCTGATCTAGACAAACTTCAGTTTCAAAACACAGATACATTGTTTCAGAACATCAGAAGGTAAGTATGATCATCGTTCCCTAATTTTATGTCATTTTAAACTTAGATGTGGTTTAAATGGTGAGTATTAAGCCGTAGAGTAAGTTTTATGTAAAGGAATTCTAACACTCTTGTTTAACTGGACGTTTCTTGTTATAAAAGCTTGCAAAATGGAAACTGAATTGAGTGAGTGAAGTGCTAATGAACTCGAGCAACGGGCGGTGATGATTGTAATCGCTGCATACCTAATTCTAATGATGTAAAGGCACGCGGACGATAATCTTTGTTAAGTATAATAAATTGTAACAATAATATGAGTTTTTATTTTGGTTCTCAGATCCAAAGATCCTGTACTGAATGTGAAGTAATTTCATTTAGACTGTATCAGTAAAGTATACTTTATATAATAAATTGATTTGTATTAAAATTTACATTGTATCATTTTACATGTAACTTTTGACTAGTAAATAATTATAGTTTAGTACACATAATTAATACAGATTTATAAAACAAAGAATCTTTAATTAGACTATAAACAAATTCATGGACCTCAAAATAACTTAATTATTTGGACAAATAATGTGAAGATATGTTTTATAATCTGTCGCTAACACTCTTCCTTTGTGTAAATAGTTCTGGTCCAAAACCGGAAACTGGTGTGGTGATCTAAAACAAAATGTTGAAATTTTGAAAGCACTTGTTTTAGTTAGGTTTTATAAGGTATTGATCTTCGCAATAAGTGTATTCTTTGAAAAATAAAATATATCACAAAGAACTATTAATAAGGATTTAAATAAAGAAAATTCAAAATAATAGAGATGATCATTATAATCATCATTAGTCCTATGTTTCTTCTGCAGCCATCTTTTGGATGGATAAAGAGGATGGGCCATGACCCTCCACGCTGGCCCAGTGCGGATTGGAGGGTATAAACGGCACCAACTTAACGTGTATTCCAAAGTACGCGGTAGCTCGAGAATTTTTTTTTTGGTCACCGATCCTGTTACGGATCCTTTCAAAATTTGCTTAATACCAACGATCACGTGCCGTGGCTTATAGTAGAGGAGATCAAAGGGATTTAAAACAACATTGGTCAATTTTTTGATACTTAATCGGAGAGCTGACAACAACGCCCATCAGTCTCTCGCGGCGAGAAGTCGCCTGCTCTCTTATTAAAGTAGTAACATATGAACAGACTGTCCCATCGCTTCTCTCATTAATGTCCACATTTCTGAGGATAGGCATTCTGTGAACGTAATCAAAAAGGGAGAACAGGCCCAGTGGATGGTGGGTGTTAACTACTAGATTTAGCCGAGACTTAACTATCCTTCCGAAGCATGGGCATACTTTAGTTAATAAATTTCATTTCTGACCTGTGGAACACCAAAGTTGTTAGCGTCCCACCAGTAACGTAGGTGTCCCACGGTTAATTTTTATACCCCTGGATCACCTAGGTGTCCCACGTTTAACTTTATTTACATTAAAATTTTCTATAGGTACTCTTGGTTGATCTAGTTCTATGGCTATCTTTTTACACCTCTAAATATTAAAATCCATTGGATTATTTCTACACAGCCAAAAATGCCATTTGAAACTTTCTTCAAGTGTATGAAGATGATGGGAATTGAGACCGCTGTCTTACTGTACTTTAAATTTATCCATTTACCTACCATCCTTACGTCCTCTTCTTATGTACTGGCCGCTTAAAAATTATAAATTAAAAAAATAAATAATTTAAATTTAATTATTTTTCTTTCTTGTTTTGCCCTGAAAATCTTTAATTTTATCAATTTAAAGATTTAGTGTTTTAATTATTTAGGATGACTTGTATTTCATTAGATAGATGAACCAAAGATACAAAAAGTTAACTGTGGAACACCTAAGTGTACAACTTTGGTGTTCACAACCTTTGCGATAGTTACTTAACTACAGATCGAACGCCCTAAGATTTAGCGCATAAAAGTTGTCTAAAGTTTGTTGAGGAAAGTGACATATAATATTAATAGAAAGTGTGATAATGCTACATACGGATAAACAATTTTTAAATTCTTTGGTCCTCTCACTGGATTCCATGCTGATACAGGTGCCTTATTTGCAAGCATTAAACCTGCAACTGCCACATATAATCCGATTTCTTGACATATTTTTTCCTGGAAATAGTTTATTGGTAGTATTAATATAGGTACAATGTACATACTTTTAATAACCCAAAATCAGATAAAAATTGAACTTGCAACAAATATTTTCATGCCAAAGACTGCATAAGCTTCCAGTGGCGTAACTGTAGCGTTTGAGGCCCGTGGCAAATTCATGGGGCCCGTGGCAAAAGGGGGCTTTAGAGTAATTGACCTACCCATAAATAAATTTCAAATTCATGTAAAGAATATACTTGTGAGTAAAGGCTATTATAAAGTTGATGATTATTTTAAGGATCGCAATGCATGGAATTAATTCCTTCGCTTTGTTCTATAAAGACTAATTATATGTTCAACTTATATCCTACAGACTTTGAAAGTTGTATTTACTATTGTGATAAATTGATAATACATATTATTTTGGTAATGACATGATTTATGTAAATGTCATTACTTATGATAAAAAGCTGATAAGTTTCTTTCGCTTGTTCTTCTTGTCAGCTAAAAGACGTCCTGAACAAGTGGTAGGGGAAAAAAGTTTTTTGGACGATTCAAAAGAGCTTGTAATAGCCTACTTGAATAAAGATATTTTCATTTCATTTCATTTCATTGGATATACTATATATTTTTTTTACTAATTGCAAATAATAAATCGCACTCCCGGTGCGACACTGTCACTAATGCAAAAATTTAATTTTTCAGTAGAAGAGTTTTAAACTCTGTCACCTTACAAAACAATGACTTTAGAAGATACAGATGAGATTTAGTAACATAATCGCACCAAGTAAAGGGGGCTTTAGGACAATTATTACATATTTAACTAATTTTTGTATTTTTTGCAAAAGTGACAGTGTCGCACCGGGGGTGCGAAATGTCAGGAGTAAAGATTCTCCTCTGATCGGGGGCCCCTTCCAGCTGGAGGCCCATGGCATTTTGCCGACTTGCCACCTTGTAGTTATGCCACAGTAAGCTTCTAACAAAACATGAAAATTTACACAATATTCTGTCAAATTTTACACCTTAATCTGTATTGCTTATTAATTTGTATATTTCATTTATTGTTTTATATCATACCCTCCACTCTGCTAGCATGATATCTGCGTCGCTCAATGCCCCAGCTGCCTTGTCTAAATGATCGATGGAAGAATAATGGGGGAGATAATTTTCTGCCAAAAAGTTGACAAACGAACTTGAATGACCTAAGAATTGTTCAATTATATCACTTGGGGAATGAGACAGTCTTTCACTATTATTGACCGATATTACTGAAAATAAATTGATAAAAATTAATTTAGTTTTTAATAAATAAGAAAGGGCCGAGCTGCATTTAAAGAATCTGGTCGGTGTTTAATGTTAATGAATACAATCGTGAAGCTATTGATTTATATAGCAGGTAAATTATAATATTGTTAATAAAATATTACAATACAACAAATGGCAACACTGTTTCAGTAATACATATGTATAATGAGAATTTTTAAATATACCTTTAGGATTCAAAACTCTGCCTACTCCATGCAAAATGCTGACTGTTTGATCTTTGCCTATTGATAAAAACTTGCTAGTTTGTTTTTTCTTTTTAGCTGCTTTTGTTTTTGTTTCTTTAGCCATCACAATGCTTGTTTCCAAGTTGCAATTGCCTCCTAAAACAATTTTGTTTAACATTAAGTACTCCATTCTATAATGCAACAAGACATACATTAAACACCATAGATGATACTTAGATACAGTTTACCTTTCAAACAAGCAAAGTGTAAGTTCAAAACTGCTGATCTAACATCGCCTGCAGATGAATTCACTACACACTCGATCATGTCTCCAGTGGGTGTGTTATAAATACTGGTATGGTTTTTACTGATTAATTCTGCCACTCTTTTGAGTGCTGACCTTAAACCTGTTACTGAAACACAATTAAATCTGGGAACATGAAAGCAATATATTAATTATATATCATTTCTAATATTTTCAGTCTATTTCAATATAATAAATATATAACTTACACAATTTGTGTTATTTGAAACTGTTCCTGAAGACTAGGTGTAAATAAACTGCTTGCTGTATTTTTATTGTCTGTATGAGAATCAGAACATATGAATACTATTGGTGATTTTGCTCTGTTTTTGTATTGACTGTAGAACAGAAGATTTAAGATTATATTTTCAACTTTATAATAATAAATAATAAATAATGAAACTTATAATAATGAATTGATTGGTTCTGGTTTAGTCACAATGATAAAAATAATTACTAGCTCTCAACCATAATTTTACCTGTATAGATTAATATTGTATTCATAATAGATTATTGTTCAAGATACTGCAAAAACAAAATCATTATACATGCAAATTGCAACCATAGCCACTGAGGGTCACAATACTTACTTTAAAATATCTGTAAATTCAGAAGGCGTTTTTAAGAAAGTATTAGGAAAATCTTCTACTAAAACTATTTTCTTAGAATTTGAATCTAATAGTGAAGTAAAATTTGCAGCTTTTAAAATGAAATCTAAAAACTTTGTTGATTGTTTCTCTCTGAACTCATAGTCACCTGCCAAAAAAACATAAGTAAATATTTGTGACATAAATCCAATATTGTATAAGATGACATTTTCTTAGATTACCATTAAAAGATGGTATTTCTATGTCCAGAGGTGTTATCCATTCAGTGACTTTTATGTTATGCTTTTTTGCTAACATATGGATTGTTGTTGTTTTTCCACAACCAACAGGACCAGTCAACAACAAGATATCACTATTATTATTGCAACAAGTAATTCTTAACCATTCTTCAATATCTTGTATTTTTTTGTTATGGACAGCTAGATCGTCAACTGATTTGGGGTCAAAATTCTTCATCCAGTTCTTGTGATTAATATTTACAATATTCTGCTCAACATTTCTTTTCTGTAAAGCAGTAACAAAAACAATATGCTGGTGGTAGTTTTGAAATAGACTAGGCATTTTACTTGGCCCCAGAATTCAGGGGGCACCGGCCCAGCAATAGCAATTACCCCAGAGTCAAAAATGGTGAGGAAATTCAAAAGCTTATTACTTATTTGGTTATTGTTTTAGTGTGAATTATTTTTACTCAGAACAGTTAAATATCACAAGAGCAGGCCTCGGTGTTCCATCAGTTTTTCATGGAATAAGTGACCAAAAAATATATTTTAGACTAAATTCTATAGTTGGTGTCATATTTTTAAGTTTCATCTAATCAAATATTTTATTATTATTTAATTCATTGGTCCCTGGGTATGTAGATTTACGATTAAATAAACGCAGTAAATATTTATAGGTAAATAAAATGTTAGTTTCTTTACCTTTTTTGTAGAATCAGTTTTTTCAATATTAGTAGTGGTTGTCTGCCCCTTTGGTTTCATTGGAGGTTCACATTCATCAAAATCAAATGAAGCCTTAAACCAATTCTTTTCCTACAATGTTATAATACAATTATTGTAAAGAGATAGGGGTGGTCAAATTTGCATGTGGCGTTCACATTGATCGCATTATATCAAAAGCCATAAAAAGTATATTTTATTTTAGGGTAGCAAAAAAGCGTGGTATGATTTACGTTACACCCGGTTCTTTTAACACCGCATACAGATAAAAGTACATTAAATAGTCGGCGACTATTTATTTACCTTTCCTGAATTTAACATTTTCAATATTTATTAATTCAATAAATTAAGGATATATTTCTTTGATATAAATGCTAATTTGTATTTAAAACTTATTTAGACAACATGCATGTATTTATTTTTTTAATAATGCAGCCCGATTATTTTACAATAACAGAGACTGACAGATAGATAGTAGTAGTATTATAATTCGTCCATGGGACAGGCGAAGGAACTAAGCCATACAGCCAAATCTTGGATGACAGATAGATACCCCATGCCATGTGAAGTTGACAGATGTCATCAAACCGTAAGTAGCGACGTAACAAACAAAATCTATAACATATTACCGATTGTAGAACGAGATATTGAATTGTTTGTGAGCCGTGCGTGCATAATTTTGTTTTTGTTGTTTAATAGATATCGCTTTTCAATTTTAAAATATGATTAAACCCAGTAACAAGATACTTGAAAATGTTATTTGTCTTCATTGCTAAGTTTAACCCTATGTAAATCCTGGGTCCTGGGTATGCCCAAGAACAGTCATATTGATTCATTTCAACAATAAAAGGAAAAACAATCGAATGTAAAACTTTTTGACTGTCGAAATACTGCATACAAGTTTTGCAATTTCTTCTGAAACTAACACGATTTCCAATACTGTAATGTTAACAAATATAAAAATATGCAAAACATTTAAAATAATATTTTTGCGCATTATTATGGTTTATCGTATTCAGCTAAAACTCATGATCGTACTGATTTTTGTATTAGAAACAAAAGTGTAACATTTTTATTTTAATATCATCGAGTTTAAGATAATAACTTGATTGTTACATTTTCTTATTTTATTTAATCAATAATAACAATTTACCTCTTGATTTGAATTCTTGAAATCAAAATGAAAATTTATTTCTAGTGTCTTGTATTAATTTTAAATGTTTTTAAAGTAAAATTGAATTTCTATTTAGTTATAGATAATAATGTGCAGTAAACAGTATATAAAATTACTACTGGTATAAAATACTTCAGGCATTAAGTATACTTATATATGAAGTATTAAATAGAATCAGTAATAAAATTATTTTTCTGTGTCTCTATAATAATTCCTTAATAAATGACGCCACATATATAAATTACACCACATAAGTGATATGGATAAACCAAATAAATTCTTTGAGCTATAAATATATCAAGGAACTAAATAAGTTTAATTTACAAGAACAAATAAATTTTAATAAAGTTTAGCAAATTCTTTTTTTTGACAATTTTATCCATTGAACCAGTTTCCTCATTTATTTTTTTCATTAAGGAATGTGAAGGGGACGAGGCCCATGTCGCTATTGTTTATATATATCTTACTCGTAGACGATGACAATAAATCATTTATTTCTATCGTGGTTACAGGACCAAAGACCGGCTAACAATGTTAAACAATTTTCAATTAAAAACTTGTAAATATAAAAAATGTATTTGACATGATTCACAAATTGATTATTTTGTATCGAAAAATCCAATAAAAATTAAGCTCACATATACTTTTATTCAAGCTTTGATAAAACCCCCGAAATATCGATGTAGTGACATAATATCGATATTTACTGTACAAGCCTAAACACTAAATCAGTTGTGTTTATGAAGATTGATTTGTTTGGTATGGTAAAATTGTATCTATTTTGCTTTTCTATTTAATTTCATTTTTATTCCCTAATTTATTACTTTCAAAAGGTTGCATTGAGTGTTTGCTTATAAACAGTCATTTATAATATTTTTTGATGTAATGTGTTGTTGTATAATTTTCTTGATTGAATCTTTGTAAATGCCATTTGTAATTACGTAAATTGATAATATTTTTTCGCTTAAGTTTTAAGTGTCTAAAACGTCTATTTTAATTTAATGTGTTGAAAAAGTGAGTGTGTTGTTCAGTTTAATGTTCACGTTGTTATTGAATGTTCTGCGCTGGCCTTTTATGGATAAACTGAGTTGTTTTTATTTACGTAGAAATCTGTCATTTTACAGGTTAAAATGCTGGTTCTCAAGGCACTGGGAGCCTCTGCTCCAAATACGGTCTTGTCTTTTATGAAAAAGGGTGCATTTGCAGTTGCACCTGCCGTTGATCAGATTCGTCATACTCATCTTCCTGCTCCGAGTCCAACAGAAAAACGACCGTACTCTCCTTTTCAGGATGCCTCGAATATGGCTGAATATGCTGTAGCACGTCTTGATGATTTATTGAATTGGGGAAGAAAAGGATCTATGTGGCCAATGACATTTGGTTTGGCATGTTGTGCTGTAGAGATGATGCACTTCGCGGCACCTCGATATGATATGGACAGGTGTTTATTTTGAGAAAGAGACATTCTTAATGAAAAATGCTTAATAAATCTACTTTGCTTATAAAGTGGATTTTTAAGCATATTTCATTAAGAATATTTTTGAGTATAGCACAATGAATGCAAAATTGATCAAATATAATAATAATTGAGATGATTAAATGCGTAACTTGACTATGAATATATTAATATGTTGAATATATAAATAATATTTGTAATTTGTCACAAAGAAATAGGTCAATATTGCAAAATTTTATGAATATGTATTAGAAATTTTTATATTGGTAATATTAATTATAAATAGTTCTCATGTTTTAGGTATGGTGTAGTTTTCCGAGCTTCACCTCGCCAATCTGATGTCATGATTGTAGCTGGTACTCTAACTAATAAAATGGCTCCTGCTCTTCGGAAAGTATATGACCAAATGCCAGATCCCAGATGGGTTATATCAATGGGTAGCTGTGCCAATGGTGGTGGTTATTATCATTATTCTTACTCAGTTGTAAGGTAACTAAAAAACTACATTTATGTTATTTTATTTCAAAACAATAGATTTGGTTCAAAAAGTATCCTAATATTAAACTCCACCAGTGTTATATGGTATATTATTGTAATTATTCCCAATAATAAAGAATATACATTATTATGTAAGTTTCATAAAATACCAACATGGAACTTGATTTTAACAACAGATAAAATGAGTAAATATTAAGTCTTACCTTTGATACCTTACCTTTTACCACTACACTGTGGTTTGTATGTTAAGAAAATAATGTTTTTATTGGACTAATTATGCCTAAACTTAATACAAAAGACCTCTTTGTAAAATAGACAATTATTGAACACAAATTAGTGAAAAAGAAACTATTAACTAAGTACAAAATAAAAATTTTTGTTACTTTTTCTTCAGTCAATAAATCAAGTTCAATGGCACATTGGTTAGCGCGCTTAAAAATAAAATTTATTATCAAGCTTCACCATGCAACGGAAGACCCAATAAGCTGTAGATCCCGGCTGCAGTTATTCCATTCATCCGTTCTCCTTATTTGATTTGATTCAATTCCATCCTTTGGGAAGGCCTGAGCCCTAATAGAAAGGGCATTAATAGGCTGGTGATGATGGTGATCAAAATCAAGATTATTTTCATATCTTTCCAAATTTGTACTAAATGGAAACTGACACTTATAATTAAAGCAATGCAATGACAATGCATGTGCGGCGTTGGGGTCTAATGGATTAACTGGCATTAGCAGCTATTTTTGGGAAAAAGATATTTTGAGTACATCACATTGATCTTTTCAAGCTCACTCAGTAATAGATGTATTACTGAGTGATACATTTTCAAGTTCACTGTTTCATGTTAATCACTCCTGTATTTGAGTCACCTGCAATATTGTGGATATTTTTTGGCACAAAAATTATCATTTCTAATATGTGTTTCTAAATAGGTATTTCATTTGAGCATTTTCATAATGAATTACAGTATTGCTAGACAGTTCACATAGTAAAATTCAAAAGTATAGAATTAAAATAAATATATGCCTTAAAATATTTTCTTTGTACCAGCATTTTGCATACAGTAAAAAAATAATAATTCAATGAAAACTGATCTTTCATGCAAGTATAGCTGTTTTAACTTTTTGTATTTGTAATGTTTAAATTGTACTATTTTAGAGGGTGTGATCGTATAGTGCCCGTTGATATCTACGTTCCTGGATGTCCTCCCACAGCGGAAGCCCTACTTTATGGTGTCCTACAGCTTCAAAAGAAAGTAAAGAGGATGAAAACCACACAAATCTGGTATAGAAAGTAAGCAGATCAATGAATAAAGCAATGTTATATAGTAGATTATTTTTTATTTATTTTAATTCATATTAGAAATAAATGTGTGTATAAATCATATAGTTTATAATCTTTCATTTAATACTGCCTAAATTGAAGTAAATGGACGATTTAATGCCAAGAAGGCATTCTTTTTGCATTCTTCAAGCCAACTTCTTGAAAACGATTTTGAACTTTATTTATACAAGACTTAATCAGTTTAAAACTTTAAATTTTTGGACAACCTGGTGGGACAACTACATTGTTAGACGATAAACTTTGTTTATTTTAAATATACAAGGTTCATAGTCTGAAAATGGTATGGTATTATAGTTGAACAATAAAGGTGTTCGGTGTAATATTACAGAACCGAATGACGTTTGCTTCGGTCAATTAGTTTTTAAGTTAGTATGTACAATTCCACCGTCGCGTATACTTATTCCTAACATTTTAACATTAAATATTAACATTTGTAACATTAAATAACTTTATAACGGTGTAACATAAACTTTTAATTGAACATTCCAACACTGCCCACCCCCGCTCTCCAAACAAAGGTATGGCACTAAAGTTATCTCAGTAATTGTATTCTCGATTTTTGAATTCATATTACACGATGCGCGGGTAGCTTTAACATATTCTACCTGAGCGTTTAGTGTAAGTTTTTTTTTTTACTTTAAGTTCACCGTCGATAGCGAGCGCGTTAAGATTTTAATATGGAATCTGGAACAGCTCCCATAGTGGTAACTATCAAGAACTACAATTCTCCATTGCCGGATTAGACACGTAGCAATGCTACGGGCTTCGCGGTGTTTGAGGTCCAAAAAGCAAAACATGACTTCGTTTGCTTAGTTACTGATTTCGATTAAGCCGGAGCGGGGCCTGTGCCGAATTATTCGAAAAATTTGCTACAGGGTCTGCCCTGCGATTCTGTAAAATCCAGACCCGATTTTGAATTAGCTCATGTGTCAGAATTCACGTTATTGTGTGTAGAAATTCTATTGAATCAATAGAATTTCTACACACAATAACGTGAATTCTTGTATAACATTTCTTGTATAATAATAAGAAACAAAATTGATTGAATATACGTGTCTCGGATATTCTATTCCTATGTCATTTCGAAATTCACTTCACATATGCCACGAAACGCTGGGATGCCGTTTTTTGAAGTGAATTCGGGCACGTGTGAACTCAAAATCGGGTCTAGATTTTTACTGAACGCTCTTTACTTGGAATTATTAAAACGTTATGAAATTAATATTCTTTTCATTTGCTGCCTATCGAAGACTTATCCCTTTTTCCACTATCAGCGTCACTTCTTTCACATTTCTTTCAGTAAGAAAACCGTGATCCGTCTTTCTATGACGATTACTTACCATTTTATTTTAAAACCTAGGCACAAAAAAACTAGAAATTTGGTAATGGCCCATTGTTGTATTTTAGCGAGTGTGATCCGTAACATAGTGCTCCAGATGGACAAGCCGAACAAAAAAATTCCAATGAATAATAGATATTATGTTTACAACAAACTATTAAACGATAATATATCAGGAAAAAATAATAAACTTAAATCAAAGCTTATCAAAACTGCATGCTTTGATTAAAACCATAGTGGCATTGGTAAAATATACAGCTATGACAGAGTATAAAGAGTAAGTGCTCTTCATACATACGTACCGAAAATGCGCGCCCGTGCGTATGCGTCGTCGCACGCACACACCTACAAAATTATCGAAGTTATAGGAGTTCAAGGCACGAGCGGCAACTCGCCAGTCGTGGCTAGTATGCCGTTATAAAATTTCTGGACGTGAACAAGATTGCTTTGAAAACTAAACCAAAATATTGTATATGCATTTATAAATCGAGTATATGGTATTTCACATTTTTATAAATCGAGTATATGGTATTTCGTTCTTTAGGTATTCGGGTAATTTATTATAATATCATAAGTAATTATAATTTTGTGTAGCTATTTACCCATCAAAAGTGTTTATGAATTATCTCGTTTACGAGATATCAATTTGTAGTTTAATTTATTAAATTTCTATACCCGAATACCGCCAAAATTGAGATTGATATTGAATTGTATATTTGCGTATTAGACAATGTAATATAAAAAAAAACATTAAATGTTGTATTATAGTTTCCGGATGCTTACCATACTGAGGGTAAACTATATTTTAGAGATTGAGTGACTATGTATTTCTGACGAATGAATAACCCATAAGCATCAGCCCTAAATATTTAGGCTATTATCTTTCACACGGGCTCTGTCTCGGGTCTCGAGTTATATATTTGTACTGTGGCTATGAGCCCCAACTTACCACACTCACGTTATCGGTAGCATGTCAACCAGGCGAGAGAGCAGCAGCCAATTTCAACATTAGCATGAGCGAGACAGGAACTTGTGATCGTTACACACATGCGGGTAGCAACACGCCACATAGCCGAGAGCCAATCTCACGCACATGTAGGGGAGACCTAGGAGAGTTGTGACAATTTTTACATAAGGGGCTCTATCTCGCTTAAGAAACATTCCACAGTTATGACTCATGTGAATTAGTTTAGCGCCATTCCTTCTGTTTTCAAAATCATCACTAAAATTAATTAAAGTATAATAGTTTCTGAAAAAAGTAACAAAATTCAAGTCCACTCCCCTTGTCACAACTCTCCTACCACCGAGGTAAGTTGTGACATCATTGTATTTAAGCTATAAGATATAAAAATACCATTACATACGACATAAATAAATCAAGCACGTTTTTTTATCAAATTAGTACTTTAATCAGCACTATAATAGTAAATTTGACTTGGAAAACACACACTGAACATGTTTGCAAAAGGTTGTCCCAGTATTCTTGTGCACTGTACAAACTTAGTAGGATCGCGAATCAGTGCACGGTCCTTACAGCTTATCACGCGTACGTAGTTTCTACTGTTCGATACGGTTATATGTTATGATTATATTTTGGGGATATTCGACTGATTCTGTAACTGCCTTTAAAGCCCAGAAAAAATGTGTTAGGAGCATATTTTATTAAACTAAATATTATGACCCTGCCATCAATCTATATATTCGAAGTTGGTATTTTTGTCAAACAGGATCAACAACTATTTGAAAATAAGACGAGATTGCGTCATCGAGACAAATTGTTTACGATACCCTCTAAGACAGCTCAGTTGAACAAAAGTATCTTTTGTATGGCTCCAAAAATTTTTGATAAAATTCCAAAAACAATACGTAATCTGGATAATTGTAATGTTTTTAAAAGAAAACTTTATAAATTATTAGTAGCTAAAACATATTATAGTGTAAACGAGTATCTAGCTGACAGTACTTTGTAAATGTATAAATACTTAATGAATTAGTTGAATTTTTGACATAACATGTTATTGATTAGATTAGTTGACAATTACTAACCTACAAATATTGTATGCTTTTTAGGCAGATCACGGTGTAACTATTCAGTTCTTGCATCCAATATCTTTATATAAACTGCGATCAACGATAAAGATTGATTTGATTTGATTAATCATCTTTTAATACCTACCAACTAAAACAACATAGTATTAATATTAAATACTAAAATAATATGATTGATCTCAAAGCGATACAATATTTAGTTAATGAAAATATTATAATTACTTGTTATGAGAATATTCTCATCAGTATAAAATCTTAATCTAATCAGATTCACATTTATGCCAAACGTAATGAAGTTCGTCCCCAGTACAATCTAACTGTGCCTAGCCTTTGCATTCCAGGCTTTGGACCCACTGATCATTCGATCTGCTGTCTGCATAGGCTTCAAGGCAAACCAAATAAAAGAAGTTATTTTCTACGTCTTCTTCATCACTTGGTCTATTCTTCTTATTAGTCTTCTTTGCTTTTTTAGGTTTCTTTTTTTTTTCTTCGCTTAAGACACGCTTCTTAACATTCTTAGATTTTCAGTCTCTCGTGTATAGTTATTTGGTATTCTCAAAAAAATAATTATGCGGTATGCCATTATACACCTTAAGTAGCTACTAACACACCAACAAACATCTAAAGTTAATAAAAAAAAAAAATGTAAAAATAGCCCAGCAGAAATTTGGAGTAAGTTAGGAGAGTTGTGACAGGCTGTCACAACTCTCCTAGGTGTTCAAAATGACGTCTTGGTCCGAATAATAATTCATATTTTCTAAACACGATGCGCATACAAAAAATCAGTGCCACGTATTGAGACTTAAATAACTACATAACTTAAGAAAAAATAACACATCAATGCACATATACTAAGATATGATATATATTCAAATAATATTTTGAAGAAAAACTTACTTTTCGTAATTTTTTGTACACTGACGATATATTTACGCAACTGTGCCACATGCACCGTCGACAGGTACTGGGTCGTGTAGCGCGTGTAGAGAACGACAAACAAGCGTTAATGCCACCTCGCTTACTATAATACGTAGAGAGAAATCCTCCTTGTCACAACTCACCTAGGTCTCCCCTACATGTGGCAGGTATAAGTATACTCTTATCCTTTCTTAGGGATGGCGAACTAGATACTTATTAAACGTTGATATTGAGTTAAAAATGTGTTTTAATATACTTACTAGAGAAATGTGATGCAATGAAGTTTTGTTTTTTTCTTGAACAATTTCTACATTATAAAAAAGAACATCCAGTATTTGTTCTACCTTTTCCCCCCACTGAATTTCAAGCATGTTTTTGTTCTTAGCGTGTGTCTCCGTGAAGTCTCAAAAGTGAATCGTGTACATGAACCTAATTTGAAGTTTTTATTAACAAAGCGCGTGTGCCGTGTCTCCGCTTTTTGTTATAATCAAAGATAATGACAGGAATAGAGATATGTGCATTGTAATAGTATATATATCGTGTAACACAGCCCACCTTACCTTATAAGTATATGACTCGATACCACCTAACACACACATGCAACATACATTTTTGCATTATGAAGAGGCATATGACGGACGAGGTATTGGTGTGCGACCAAGATGACGTATGTAACGTAACTACGATATAACCACTAATGCATGGTCAAATCATGAAGCAGTCCAACGATCAACCGCCCATATCGTTAAAACCAAATAATTGATCTGCCCAGGCCACATCATGATGTGGGCATAGTTTTTTCAGTTGTCGGAGTGATGTCAGCCCAGCAGCGCCACGCGTTTTTATGTAACTTGATCGATTTTCATAACAGGCGTCAAACATATTTGTTATTTAGTAATTTCGGGTATTAACTATCGTGCGAATGATGTTTACCCTCCAATCCGCATTGGGCCAGCGTGGAGGGTCATGGCCCATCCTCCTTAACCATCCATAAGGAAGGCCTGAGTCCCTGCAGTGGGGACGTAAAAGAGCTGGTGATGATGATGAATAATGTTTTAAGCGATTACGATTCGGGAAGAGAACAAAAAATCATCTTGGTATAAAAATCAAAAGTTTTAATGGTATTTTCTGAATCGCACCAAGCTTTCATTACCTTTTAGTATACAGAATGATTTTGTGATCTATAATATAATACATTTCTGATTTGCTTTCTCGAAATTTTTGATAACACAATCATCTGACATGCCACATTTACGACTGACTCTAATTTTAATTTTGTCTGACCCTATGTCCATATATATTCATTAAATGGCACATACCGAACAACAATACTAAATAATTGGCGAACTTGATTGATACCAATGTCACAGACTACGATATTACAAAATAAATATCACTAATGAAATTTTAATTTTGAACATACTGTTGAAGTAATAATTATACGATATCAGATAATATACACTACTTTGAAGTCAGACAAAATGTGTTTCAAGTTACAATAATATCACATACTTTAAATGCAAAAATGAAGTATCAACCACTATTTATAACAAATTTAATTCTTGTTGTCACTATTTTGTTAAGGAGTATAAATAAATAAATAAAACTCCACTGGTACAATTGAAAAACCATTATGAGATTTTTAACGGAAGTGTAAATTCTAACTCCCGATACAATAATAATTTATGGGACTTTTCCTTTGTATGACGTTAAATAAACCAATTCTATATTATAACACTAATTTACATACTAATATTTACATTTTATTTATAAGTATATATAAATATGTATAATTATATCGATAGCGATTCTGATAATCCTATCTTTCACATATCAGCGATTTGATGTATAATTAACTAATAATGGTCACAATAACAACTCGATAGATATTTCAAGTAAATAAACAAGCGGTAGTGTACAGGCCGGCGGCGCCTCCGCCCGGAGTCCTCGTCCCATATTGCACAAGCCGCCGCCTCTCGGCCGCTGCACTACTCCATTACTCTACGAACACGACGCGGCGGGCGGGGCGACGAGACTAGCGACCGTCGTTCGGCAAGCGACGTTACAATAAATAATTCTCTAAACCGATAATGCGAAACGATATACATCAAATTAGTCGTACTCTCACTCGCGACGTCGTTTACACTACTCTATGTACACTGGGGAGACGGCAGTCGCGGCGCTTCGCTATCATCGCGGCTCCTCCTTTTTGAGCAGGTCGAGCGGCGCCAAGGGCGCCAGGGGGGCCAGCGGCGGTGCCAGCGGGGCCAGCGGGGCGTGCGCGCCCAGCGGCGGCAGGGGCCCGTGCGGCGGCAACGCGCGGTGCAGCAGCGGGCTCGATTTCAACTGCTGATGGTGCGCGTACGCACTCAGCATCTTGGCGCGGTCCTCCTCCGCCCGGATGGCCGCCTCCACCAGGGGCGCGAACCGCATGTGCTGTAGCGGGTCGAACGGTCTGTACGGATCCCACGGCGCCGGGGGCGGCGGGTACGCGGACAACGTCGGCGGCGGGGGTCTCGGCGGTTCTTTCCGCTCTTCCTTGGGTGCGTCTACGGTTCCGTTTCGGAGCGGCGATCGTGTGCGGACCCGCTCGAGATCCCGCTCCCGAGCTTTGCGTCGTTCGCGGTCCTCCCGTTCGCGGCGTTCGCGTTCCTCGCGTTCGCGTCGCGCGCGCTCCCGTTCCTCGTGCTCGCGTCGCACGTCGGCCGCCGCGGAGACGGGAGGGCGGACCCCGCGCCAGGCGTCGTGCAGCGATCCTAGCGGCGGGGCGTGATGCACGCCGTGGAGCGAAGAGGAGAGCGCGAACTCGCGCCCGTAGGCGGAGAGGCCGAAGGCGGTCGGCGCCCCGGGGAAGGCGCCGGCGCCGTACCGTCCGAACGGCGAGACGCCTGAAACCCGCAAGCCTCGGTCAGTGGGCGCGACTAGAGGTGCGCTGACGAGTGCGGCGTTGCGGGCATCGTCGTATCGGACGGTACCTAGGTGCGGGTGGTGCGGCAGGTACGGTGGCGGTAGGTCGTAAGGTGAGCGGTAGGCGGCGGGCGGGGGCGGCGCGGGCGCGGGGAACGCCCGCATCTTGTCCTTGTCTGCGGCAGCGGCGGCGGCGGCGGCGGCGGCCGCGCCCGGCGGTACCGTGCTTCCGCCAGACTTCTCTTTCTGCTGATGGTTGTAGATCTCCCACGCGATCCTTACGTGCATAGCGTTCCATTTCCCGGTTTTCTGTAGTCAATATATAAAAAAAATCTCAACGAAAGCCACTTTATCGTATAAATTATTTTAAAGTGAACGGCATGCACAGTTAAAAAGAAGTGGTGAAGAGGAAACCTACCGCGACAGCGGGACGTGGTGATGGTTTAGTGGCAGGGTCGCTTGCGGCTGACACTACGGGCTGTTAACATGATGCGTTTGCAGGGTTAATGATCACAGAGCAACATAAAATATAAAAAATAAGCTAGAAGCTAGGTCATAAAAGAAAGAATGGTAGGATTATAAGTGATGTTATACTACTTAATATTATTTGTAAAATTAATATCTATCTTTATAGAAAAAGAACTAAATAATATGCAAATTATCATCGTATGACAGAACATTGAAGAATATAAGATTTGAATTATTAATTACTAATTTACAGGTTATAATGTTAGAATATCGTCGAGAGTATGAAACAAGTCGATATACCTTCGGAGCATAGGTGGTAAGTGGCGCAGGAGGTACGTAAGGACCCGTGGGATGTAGCAGACTGGATGAATATGGGTAGCCTAGTCCAAGTCCACTGCGGTATAGTGATGACATTTTGCTAACATCTTTGAACTGAAACAAATTAACAAAATATTATAAATAAAATATACATTCTACTTTCTGTGCAGGAATATCGATGAGCTCCATTAACTATATCCCGATAGAAAAGGTGTAAATTGGTAGTTGGACGCTTTTAGACATGGGTAAAAATATTTATGACGTCGATATTGATAATTAGTTAGGGGTAAGGGTGATGGATGGAGTAAGAGCTTTAATATCCTACACATTGTTTTGCATTAAACGTCATACATTTTACATAAAATCATTCATACGTCTTTTGTGCTGAAAATAAAGATATTGTTGTAATGAATACACAATAGACTTGTCAAGCAAAATATATTTGGCTCGTTCATACAACCACATTTTATCAAATGTGGTTGTATGAACCCAACTGGATAAGTTTTTAGTAATAGTTAAACTCTGTTTCGTTCATACGACACAGACTCAATAGTTTTTTATGGAATGGCGACAAGTGTTTAGTAATAGTTAAAAGTTTCTTTTGTATACGACTGCCGACAAAACAATGTTTTGTCAACCAATATAAAAAAACTACTACCAAACTAGGTTCCATTCTTAGTATGTATGAAATCATTGTTACAACTGTGTAACCACAGCAATAATTCATTTTTAAACTAATAAAAATGTAAATATCCAGTTCATTGTACGATTAAGCACTATAACGTCATTTATTACAACCTTAGAAAAAAGAGAATCATAGAAGCAGGAGTGCAAAACATTCTATTTTCAAGATAAATTATAAAAAAATTATAATTATAAGTTTTGTTAGAAACTTTCACAATATTATTATTATTATATTTGATTAATTTTGCATTCACAATGATATAATATATAAATGTACCCTCCATGGAGCATTTTCATGAGTTGTTAGACCTTACCAACCAACCAACTACCGATGTTTACTAGAAAGGTAATGGTAGAGGATAGATAGATGTTATGTGACATTGAGAAATCCATTAATAATCTTATATTACAAGTAAAAAATACCAAGAAGAAACATAAGCCAGTCGTAGCCGAAATATAATACGAGCCGTAGTTAAAGTGCAATTCTTACGTTACAGGCGACTTCACGAGTGTTTACACTGCGCGATGTGAGGTTCATCTCAGTTACTTAGTTCAATTCCATCGAATTTATTCAATTACTTTAAAAACATATTGATTAGTTTATCAATTGAAGTTTTATTTAACAAATGTAAAAAATAACTATACCTACAGTTTTTTGTTTTCAAATAAACGGTAAGTATATTGTATTTAATTTCAAAAAATTGCGATCGTTAAACTGTGGATAATAAGAAGCGAAATGCGGTTGAGCTATGACGGAGCTTCGTGTGACGTCATATTTCAATAAATAAACATCTTTGTTTTCGTGCTATATAAAGGCCGATTTACACCAAACATGACCAATATTCTAAAAATACTTATTCGCTTAGTGTAGCTCTAGAGCGTGCGAACAGTTGTTTAGTGTTCTAGCGTGCTCGGACACACTCGCGCATCGTAGCGGACTCTTCATACAGTTCTTGTGTTCTAGTGATTAAAGTACATATAGCTATAGATTACATGAGCATTCGTTAAATCTAAACGTTGTGCAGAATTCCAGTTCTTTGTTCGAGAAGGATGAGAGAATTCGTGCTCGATGACTATGTTAATACTTAAAATTAATTTTCGTTTGTTTACGCTAGAGAACAAATAAGTAATACTTTTGTTCTTGTTCTTTGTTCGTTTGGTTTAAAAGTACCTTAATAGGAGTGGCGAAGCAATGAAGAATGTTGCGCAGCTAGTGTCATTATGTGTGTACTCACTAGTGGGGCGTGCGGCACCAGCAGTTGGTGCGGATGATGGGGCGGCGCGTGGGGCGCGTGGGGCGGATGGGGCGCGTGGGGCGGGTGGGGCGCGTGCGGCGGGTGCTGGTGCACGTGCGTGTGCTGGTGCTGGTGGTGGTGAAGTTCAGTGCGCGCGCCCGCCGCCGCCAGAAACCGGTTGTCGAGCTCGCGCCTCAGCAAGTCCGCACCGGGACCTGAAATGCGACCAGTATATCCGTTCACAGTTACGATCTTATATTCACTTATGGCGAAGGCAATGGTATTATATTTCAATTAATGAATGAATTAAATAGTATTTTTTGTGTGCAGTGAACAGCACCTCGGGTTGGTATACAAAAAGGTCAAATTTCTCCACTAGATTTTAAATTTTAATACAAGAGTTGAAATGCAATTTGTGTAAATGTAACTGGACGTGCGTTACAGAACTAAGTAACAGTTATGATGTGTCGGACAAAAATCAAATGATAATTTATTTATATATACAAATTTTACAAGTTTTTTTTTTCCATATTAAACTTCCTAGGGTGCATGAAGAATTGAATTTTTTATCCATTTTTAGAGCGGGAAATGTAAATGTACAACCATCATAACATCAGGTTATAACAATATAATAACACTGAATATACAAAAGATTTAAACATTTTATATCCTTATAGTATAGTCCAATATCGATAGTTTACAAATGTTGCGGTAAACTATTTCTCGTGTGTATATCAAATAATTTTTCAATTAGATTAGCAGTATCTATACAGGCGAAATCACTAATTCATAAATATAATCAATTTTTCCACTTACTAGATTGGAAGAGTGATTCGGCTGAAAAAGGATTAGGATTAGGTGGCGCGAGAGGTGCCCCAAAGAGAGGCGGCGCTGGTGCGAATCCGCTGACACGATCCGACCCCGTAGGTCTGCTGAAAGAAATAATCTACAATCTTACAACCGTACGCATAAACGTATAATAAAAAAAGCAAGCACATACAAGATGTGCTAGTATGGATATGTTATTAATAAACAGATACTATAAGTTCAATGAAAAGTTGATCTTGCTTCTAAAATAAATAGTTTACAAGGTCCCACAAGACACAATTTCGTACGTCGACCTTTGTGCCTACTGGTAAATATCGTAAATAATTCAGTTTAATTTTATTATGACATAATTGGCTGTCCGAGCAATATGTTTGCGCACGAGTGAAAAGATATGTAATCTGAGTCATTGTAGGAAATTCTATCTCTTCGACGACCGTGCTATATAGTGTATCAATTAAGACTTTATTTGAGTTACTCGGGTGGTTATGTTAGTGTTTAAATGTTCAATAGTTCTCGTATGTATTTTATACTCACGTTACCCCCCAGTGGGCGGGCGGTTTAGCGCTGGAGCTGATGCTAGGCACAGTGGGCACGGGCGCGAGCGAGTGCGTGAGATGTGTGGGCGTGGGCGCAGCGGGCGTGGGAGTGGGAGCGGCTAATGGGGCGCCCAGTGGTGGGACCAATGGGGCAGTTAATGGCGCACTAAGACCTGTCGCGAGCGGAGCCTGAAAACGATCACACACAATAAAATATTTAATTTCAGAATTACATACACATTTCAAATTGGTTTATAGCAACTATTAGTGAGACAGCGTATAAGATAATGAGTTTTAAATACGGTTGTTGTGAATATCAGTGACCTCAATTTTAATCAAAACCAATTGCATACCATGTTGGACAAACTTCGAATTATGATTATTTTTTTATTTTAGCATTCGGTAACAACTTGCATCAGTAAAAACCCTGATTTAAATCTTATTCCAAATATAATTTAACGTTGATAGTAGTAGAATATATGCAACCAACCGCGAGCGGTGCCGCTAGGGGTGCAGCGAGCGGTGCGACGAGTGACGGTGCCAGTGGTCCCGTCACCGGCGCACTCGCTGCTGAAGCCGGCGTGCTGCGAGACAGACTACTGATGTTGCTGCTGAAATCACCCCGCCCAAAGTGTAACTACTTACGTTCGAAATGTGTTATTGCAAAGGCTATTAAGATTTTAAGAGTGAAAAGTAAGATTTCTCAACTGTATTTTTATTGACTTGATGCCTTAATTAAAGCATTCTCAATTTATGAACAGAGGAGTTGGGTATGAATAAATTATCTGATTGTATCTTTTATGGATGTCTACTGGTTTGTAAAAAAGCTGTATTTTTGTGGGAGTAAGAAGCAGGCCCGGGTCTAGGATTTTTTTTAACGGGGCAGAAACTTCGTCCCCCTCCCCCTTCCAGTGTGTTTTTTTCTTTCTTAAGTGACCCCACTTGCCCCCTTTAGATCCGGGCCTGGCGATGGTATTAGGTAAATAAAACCTTTTGTACTTTTTATTGAAAATACATTACAGTGGCTGTTATCAATACAAATAATAAAAGAAAAATCTATAATGCTTATATAAAACTGGACTAGTAAACTTAATATAGTGAGTCAGTTTCATTAAAATTATGAAATTTATCGATGATTATAAGTATAGATTATTTAAATAAACAATGTTTAGTTGTATGTACCTGAAGCTTTCTCTTTCCCTATTAGGACTATGTCCTCGTGGAGAGTATGAGAGTGGAGCATGAGGTGGTGCCGAACCTGCCGCACCAGTCGAACCGGGCGTATGTGGCCTCACACCTTTAGGTGTTTTCGGTGCCACTAACGGCGATGCAGAAAGACTTGTTCTCTGAAATATTAACTCTTTATTAACAACTATATTTTTCATTTAGATAGCAAATAATTTAAATGAATTGACATCACAGTTGGTTATTGGTGTCATTTATTATAATTTAAATGGGCATGTTACGAATTTTTTACATCATATTTCTAGCTATTTGTTTTTAATTCAAATTTGTAAGGTCTCGTTTATAAAATAATAGTTATGGTGATATTTTCACACGGCAGATTAGCAAGCATCACCGACTTAAGTTTAATCGTCCTAATTCGATACATTTATTATTTTAATTAAGTGACGTGATATGGAAACGTACCGTATCTGTAGAATTCCTAGGTGATGCCGCTGCCGGTGGCAGGTAAGGGCTATGTTGCAGGGTAGTTGCGTACGGCGCATATAGTGGCGGGTAGGTGGTCCCAGAGTATACAGGGCAGGCAAGCGATGTCACCGCAGGGCTTTCAGTCCGTGAGGGCAACTCGCTTGATGATACCACAGTTTGCCTTGAATCCACTACCGGTGGCGCAAGCGCATGGTTACTACTACTAGTTACAGCTATTCCTGGAGCTACACTAGTAGCCAGCGACGTTTCCACGTGATTTATCGGCGCATGTAACGACACAGGCGGGCCTAAAGGAACCGGATGTGGAGGCAAACTGAGACCAGGATGTTTAAGGCTAGTTGGGAAACTCGATATTGTGCTCGTTGTCGAAGATAAAGAGAGCGGCGGGCCGATATGATTCGGAGTGGATGTCGCCGTTAATGGACTACTATTACTTAAGGAAAGATGACTTGTGTGATTCATAACGGAATGGCTGTTTAGTGGATGGCCTAGTGGCGTTAACGACTGACTCGACGAAGAGGTCATAATGTGATTTGAAGTAAGGTGATTGCTCACACTAAATGGGGCGAGATGTGGAGGTCTATTCGCGTATGCTGATGGAACGGAATGTTTCTGTAAACTTGGTTGAGTCTGATAGGGCATGTGAATACTGGAACTTATACTTGTGTTTATATGACTAGACCCAATCGACGGAACGGGGTAGGGGCGAGATGTCGGTGCGGCTGGGGAAGCGGGCCGACCGGCTAATGTTTGACTCGGAAGACAATTGGCATTCGTAGATGGCGTCGAGTGTGGCGTGACACTTGGTGGCACACCGTTTACGCGACTCGGGTACGAGGTAGGAACGGAGGAGTGATTCTGAGCAGGCGTCGGAACGTTTCGTACGTCATGGCCAGGTATCGTGGGGTGCGGCACTCGACCAGGGAGACTAGGGTGTGAAGGCTGAGTAGAGGGCGGAGTCGCGGGCGGCGGTCGCGGTGCGTGGTGCGCATGCAAGTCGAGCGGTGCCGGCGGTTGTTCCGGCTGTTCAGTCCGCGTTTCGTGATTCGTATGACGGTAGTCTGGCAACGCAGCAGCGGCGTGAGATTGATAGGCGGAGTGCGACGGGAAGAGCGGGGAAGGCGCGGGAGGCGCTGGTGGCGCGGGCGTCGGGCTGTCGGCGGCAGCTCGAGCGCCCGGTTGTAATTTGTTATTGCTAGCAGGTCGCTCGGGAGTGTCTGGTCCAGCGGCACCGACGGGTCGAGCCGGTATTTGAGTAGCGGCGTGACCGTCGAGAGTAGGTATGTGAGCGCCGTTATTTCTGTGCGGTGTGTCTGCTCTGAACGGCGGTGGTGGAAGTGCGGGCGGCGGCAGCGCGGCGGGCGCGGGCGAGGGCGCAGGTTGAGGGAGAGGCGCGGGCGCGGGGCTGGCGCTGCCGCCGACGGGAGCGCGAGACAATGCCAGCGCGCCACCGCTGCCGCCCCGCGCCACTAACTCATTTTTGCCACCACCGCCACCACCAGCACCCGCGCCCGTCACCCGAAACAGAGAGCCTGCGTCTGATGCCTGGGAATTCATAAAATTTAGCCTTTTAGTACAATCAGCATTTAATTACATTAGTAGTTAACAACACTTTTTTATAAAATTAAATCATGTAGAAATTTAAGAAACCATAAGCTGAATCATAATTTATTTGAGATTATTTTGATTCTTAATTATGAATATTGTAATGCTATTGAACGTTATTGTTAATGCCATACTTGTCAATGCTGTAACATAACTATGAAAATCTAATACTTACATCATCCATTGATACATCGTTATATCTTGGTGAGGCATTTCTACTACTTTCTGGACTTGCCTGTAACAAATGAAAAAATAAAATGAAACACATTGTCTTATTAGTTACTCTGTTGCAATAATTTACGTGTGATAATTGACAAACTCATATAAAAACAATGGATTGGACACATGTGTAACTAATGATTATTTTTTCAATGTTTCACGCTTTTAACGAACTTGTTCACGGCTATGGCATAACTATGGCGATGATGAATGCAGATAGCGGGCTTGTGACTAGCGTAGACCGCACCGGCCTATATTGTGTACTAATTAGCATTCCAAAACTGTATACCCATTGTTCAAGCCTAACACAATAACCACCCACGGGTTTTTAGTATTCAACAAATGGAAGATGAAATCGCGTCCGATACGAAACAACGTCAATGAGAATTATAACCGACACTCAAGTAGGATACGATTATTCATAAATTTATGTAAGAATGTGTCGGAATTTAAATAGGAGCTTTGATAGTCTATTAAATTGTTAGTGCTTGGCAGATAATGAAGTATAAGCGCGGGCGTTGAATTCGTAATGGAGTAGTTCGATAAAACAATAAACATTAATTTATTAGATGTCTGTAAGAGGATATGTGTTTTTATTTAGTTACTATAGTAAGTGATAACCCGATGTTCTTTTTGTAGGTACTGATTTATGCCGATATTAACATTTATGTCATTAACAAAATATGAAAGAGATTTATTATTTTCGAATAGGCAAATATCGAAACTAATAAAGGTTTTTGTTTTAATATTTATTTCATTAGTAAACAATGTGAAATGAACGTCTTGAAAACATATTTATGTCACTGAAACAGACTGCCGAGTGTTCAGAGGGGGAATGGAAAGTAATTACTTGGAAATATTTACGAGCGAGCGAGAGAATGGCTCAATAAAACTAGCTGGGCAACCGCACCATTTACGAGGTACACAGTTTAAGTAGCATTGTATCCGCAATCTGAACGGGCAAAAGATGTTTAGTGTAAGATTTGTTCATCTTCAACGTAAATGGACATTAAAAATAGAAACCGTTTATCATTATTAGCAAAACGAATGGGCTGATAGAATATAAAAAACAAAGTCAATAGCAAATTTTAATAAAACATATTGACGATAAAAGTACTTGATATGTTGCGTACAGAATCCAATAAATACAGTGAGGTGACCGGAAGAAACAGTCAATCGATCGTATTGAAGGAACAAATCGTTTCGGGAGCGTTCCGGCAATTGAATGTTTAGCCTTATCCGGTGGGGGTGGGTCGTCGCTCCTCAACAATGGAGTGATAAATCAAGTATGGGCTGCGCGTGCCGGCAAGCGGCGGCTCCGCGTCCGGTCCGCGGTGCATAACAACATTCAAAGGTGCCGAATTTTACATCATTTAGACATTTATATTGTCTCACCACTCGAATAACTTTAACAGAAATCAAACATGTCATCGACATTCTAGGACAAAGAGTGTTTAGTAAGTCAACAAATTTGGGATTTTGTTAAAAAAATCAATCAGTTTCAAAGTAGTAAAAATTGGTGTCAATAGCCACTTTATGATATTATGATACATATCTAATTTAACTACATAGACTTTTTAGTCTGCGTTTGAGTTTTTACTCACATGCACTTTGCATTACGTAAAAGTTAGTCATTTTTATGATTTTTTCACAGATGCCACAGACAATAATTAATTTCAAATAAATAGCAGCTATTCAAATAAACGCAAAGGTTTTTTTATTAAAAAATAGATATAATGCCTATTTTTTATAATAACGGAAAATGTGATAGAGGTTCAGTTAATGAAGTTTTTTTTTCTGAGAATAAATAAAACTAGACCTAGACAGTGTCCTGTTAAGGGTATAGAAAGTTGCTCATAAAATAGGAGCTGTCTATCAACACCGATGTAAGTTGGCAGCTCTACAAAACAACGTTACATAAAATGGATAATAATCAGAGATATTAGCGCGATGACTGATGTCGTGTCGGCGAGCAATAATAGAGCGTCGGTGCCCACCTTCTAGCAAGAAACACGCATGTCTGTAAATAAACCAGCTATAAAAATAAACGACCGCATTAGTCAACGCTGTCAAAATAAAACCGAGAATATTAACACGACTGAAAAGTTAATTTCAAATATTATGATCTTTAAGATTCTTTTCTTTAAAAATGTAACATTAATTAACTACAATATAATTTCGAGTTATTTAATAACTTTTAAAATAAATTAAATTAGAAATGTCAGAATTAATTAAGTTGAAATTACGAATTCAAAACAGATAGCAAAGCATAATCTCGAAATCCGCGCCTCCGGGCCCTCCTCCACCCGTTGTGGCAAAGAGGGGAGATCCGGAAAAATGGCGTGATAGCTTTTCGCCCCTCATTCGAAATTCTAATACTCCCACAAACTTTTAATAGGATCGGTCTTAAAATTCAAGGAGACTTTCGTCCACAAGTAAAGTTCAAACGATGTCTCGCGATCATACCCGGAGGCAACTTCAAAACAGAGGTTCCTATTACACAATCATCAGCTTTTAAATTAAATTTGATAAGAGTCAGAGAAAGATAAAATATCTTGTGAATATCATAATAAATGCTTTATGTAGTTTATAAAAATGCCGAGAGCACCTTCTAACTTCAAAGAAAGTTATCTAATATCGCAAATCTTTAGCAGGATGAAAATGTTTTATCTTAGGAAGGAAAAGAAAATATTAATTTATCAACGTTTAATTTTTGTATTCAATAATAATTTTAAGAAGAATTGATCCTGTCCTATTAATAAGGAGCCTAACAATATCGCCTTTCATAATGTGCTTAATATACGAGTATGAATAATGATAAAAGATTACTGTTACCATTAATGTACAATATTTTTTTTTCATGTTTAAAAAGCAATCTCTAAAAATGTATCTTTATGCGTTATAAGTTATAACAATATAATATCGTTGTTATTTTGCTTGTTAGAAAAGTACTCCATTATAAATGTCGGCTGCTACGATGAACAACACAATTTATTGTACTTGAACAGTATGTGTACAGAGATATTTACAGCCAGTTAAGTGAACGTTATCTAGAATTTTATTCGATTACAGATATTTTTCATATTCAATTCCGATGTGACATGAGTAATAAATCCTGGTCTTTTGAAGAAATTTTTGCCAATTTTCGAACAAAGTTTTTACAGAATGTTTTTTTGTTGAGAATTTTTAATGGGGAAACGATTTCTAATGGGGTTTATCTATAGTTTGTTAGGGGACTCTCACCCTGTTTTCCAAATCCCTTACGGAAATGAAAACAAAGGATAGTTAAGGACAGCGAAATGATGAAACAAATTCAGTGACAAGAAGAAAAGGAAAAGAATTTAGACTAAAGAAAGGTATAGTGAACAACGTAAACCGAATCAAAGCTTTAACTTAGTTGAATATGTAAGTGTTAATTATACTTCGAGTAATTCATGATCATATAAGTCACGAATATGAAAATTTTTATCCCATTAAGATTCACAGCGTTTGTAATTACATATCGACGATGTAGTCTCTTGATCGAAATTACAAGCAACAACGGTTTGTTGAGGATATATAATGCATTGCAACATTAAAAAAGTCAAAACAGAAACTCGTTAGCACATGACACAAATCTTACTTAAAATGGCAAACGTGTTATGACGTTTGACTCATGGCCTGAATTCAGCGACGCATTTAAGTAACGTTTGTGCGACGTCTGATACGTGCGATAAATAAAGATGTGGTTAGACTATGTCAATGGCTATCATGTAATTTTTTAATAAATCCCTTAAAGGGCTGTCTAGATGACGTGCAGATCATAATAAAAATAAAACTCTAAAAACACGTGTCATTCTAATATTAGCGGTACATCCTTTCACTTTCTTTATATGTAAAGAAGCATGCAAATATGCTGATATTCAATATTAACGACGACATTAACTAAATAATTGGTTCATAATTTAAGAATTAATGATACCTTGAGCGATCGTGTCAGGTTGATTGTTAATATTCATAAATGCATAGAAGAACCTGCTATGTAGATGTAAGTAGGTATAATTAGCGATAATTTGGTAGATAACATTAAATAAGCATAAATATAATTTACTAATCGCCGTCATAATTTGTAAATGAAAGATTATGTCATTTCAAATTCAAAACGACGGCTCTATTAAATATAAATTAAGATAATAATTTAATATCAAAACATGAGTTGATCTATTATTGATTGGGCAACATTTATTATGTTGTTTTATGTTAAGTACGGGTTGAAAATGTCAACTATAAATTATGTCATACTATAAGCATACATTATTCAAAAGTAATTAGTGAAATTTCCAGTAATATGCCTTATAATCAGGAAAGAAAAATTCAGTTAAGAAAATCATTTGATGGCCGAGTTAAGTGTTGTAAAACTCCCACTAACGTCGGTATTTCTAGTTCAAGTATCAAAGCGCTTATTAACCTAGATGTGAAGGGTAATAAAAAATAAATAACCGCGTGTTGGAAACTCTAATTATACAGTCCGTATAGCCTCCATAAACAATCTAGCTGAATTGTAGTGTAATAGCTGTAAAAGCATTGCGTTTCGGATATATCGTGACCGAGAGCCATAAAGATTCCATTAGTTTTTCAATGTGATTATGTGTAAATTAAATAGTAGCAAACTATTGCATGTTCTTTTATTGTTGTCTAAGTTAATCTTGCGGGTCGGGTAGAAGTTTACGATTCTAATCACGTCACACACGGTAATAATGTTTCTACAACCGGTATTATGAGCAGAATTTATTATAGAGACCATGTTCTTTGGGAGTCAATAGTTGTTACTATTTATGCAACGTTCTGAGTAAATAATTTATATTTAGAATTAAACTTGCATTTCTGATGTAAATTGATATAGCTAATGAATGGTCTGATTTCTGTCAATATTGTTGTTTATAACTCGGAGAGTCGTTTGTTTTTCATAAGGTATTTTATTTTCAATTATACCTGTTCTTCTTGCTCATGTTTAGTCGAAGAACGTTTTTGAGCTTC